TCAGGGCCGGCTTGGGGGAGGGGAGGGGAGGGGCCAGGCCGGGGTGGGGGCACCTCACCACAGCCACGAACACCAGGGGTCCTTCCCCCAGGGCCTGGGGCAGGAGCAGCAGCAGGAGCAGGAGAGGTCCGATGGCGTGGCCCCGAAACCCCGACCCGGCCATGTCCACACAGCCAGACGCTGAGCTCAGCCGACCGTCTGTGCCACAGCCCCACCCGCCCATTACCTCCCAGCACCGCAGGGGAGCAGGTCCCAGCACGTTCCCCAGCCGCCGGCTCCCCCGGGCCTTTGCCACCCTCGGGGTTAACCCGTGGACTGATCCATTTCATCGTCATCACAACCCCAGGAGGTGCTGGTATGATTATCCCCAGCCCCGTTGTGCAGATGGGGAAACTGAGGCACAGAAGGGTTAAGTAACTTGACTGAGTACAGGGAATCATTTAATAAAGATTAGTCAAATGTCCCTGCTGGTGTGGTTCAGTGGTTGAGTGTCAACCTGTGAATCATGCAGTCGAGGTTCAATTCCCAGTCAGGGCACATGCCCAGGTTGTGGGCTTGATCCCCAGTGTGGGGCGTGCAGGAGGCAGCCGATCAATGATTCTCTCTCATCATTGATGTTTCTATCCCTCCCTCTTACTTTCTCTCTGAAATCAATAAAAAAATATTTTTTTAAAAAAACATTGGTCATGGCCCTAACCGGTTTGGCTCAGTGGATAGAGCGTCGGCCTGTGGACTCAAGGGTCCCAGGTTCGATTCCGGTCAAGGGCATGTACCTTGGTTGCAGGCACATCCCCAGTTAGGGGGTGTGCAGGAGGCAGCTGATCGATGTTTCTCTCTCATCAATGTTTCTGACTCTCTATCCCTCTCCCTTCCTCTCTGTAAAAAATCAATAAAATATATTTTAAAAAAACAAAACAAAGATTGGTCATGGACACAAAACATGATTGGGCAGCTCAATTCAACAGCCTGTCCTCCTAGAGGAGCTGAATGCTTTCTCAGAACACCATCTCCTCCCTCCTTCCAGACACTATACCTCTAGTGATATGTCTGCAGCTATAGTTACCCACTGGCTCTTCCTCACCCCAACGGCCACCCCCCTCATCCCTGTGCCCTCGCCGCCTCCCTTGCCAAAGACTCACAGCCGAGTACATCACCATCTTGAGGGGCAGCCCCAGGCGCTGGACCCGAGAGAAGTTAGCAAGGATGGCGTCCAGCAGGATCCCTGAGGGGGCAAGACCAGGGTGCTGAGAACCCCCAGAGGGAGGTGCCCAGCCTCCCACTGTCCCCCCCCCCACCCCAAACCTCACCCCCTGTCAGCTGGGCCTTCTCTGCTGCCCGGGGTGGGCCCACGTGGGCCCCAATGTCCAAAGCCGAGATCTGGGCTAGTGTCTGCAGGACATCCGGGGAGGCCCAGGACGGGAGGGGGAGACCGTGGGCTCGCTGGGGAGAGACAGGGAGAGAGGACAATGCGACCAGATGTCCTGAGCTCTTCGTGGTCCCCTCGCCCTCCCAATGCCTGTCCTTGTTCCTGCGATCCTCTCTCTGCCCCCATCAGAACCCTGCACAGCTGGGGCTGGCCAGGTCGGGAAGTGGTGGCTTGGGCAGTAGCGATTATTTCTATTAATCACCATCACCCCACAGTCCAGCAGCTCTTCCCTGAGAGCCTTGGGGCCAGAGGTGTTTCAGAATTCAGCCATTTGGGATTTGGGCCCCGTCTCAGGGTGCCAGTACCACATACCTTCTAGCATCCCGTAGGGTCTGGGCAGCCCCCCAGTCACCCACATTGCTGGTCCCACCGTGCGGTTGGGAACATTCCCAGCAAGTGGGGGAAGCCAAGCCTATGAAGAGCATCAGGCCGTGCCAGGGGCGCTGGGTTGGGGCGCTCTTTGGATGATAGAACCACAAAGAGGAATTGCAAACACGTAGCCTCGGGCCTGAGTGCCGGCACATGGCGTGGATTAACCCATTTCGATCTTCACAGCAACCCCAGGTGGTGGTCCCTCCGTGTCCCCAGCCCCATGGTGCACACGGAGAAACTGAGGCCCTAAGGCAGCGGTTCTCAACCTGTGGGTCGTGACCCCTTTGGGGGGTCGAACGACCCTTTCACAGGGGTTGCCTAAGACCATCGGAAAACACATATATAATTACATATTGTTTTTGTGATGAATCACTATGCTTTCATGATGTTCAATTTGTAACAATGAAATTGGGGGTCACCACAACATGAGGAACTGGATTAAAGGGTCGCGGCATCAGGAAGGCTGAGAACCACTGCCCTAAGGGTTAAGGGACTAGCCTGCGGGAGCATGGCTGTTGAGCTGCAAAGCTGGGATTTGAACTCAGCTTGCCTTAGCCACTTGACTGGGCGGAAGCTCACCTGGCACATCAGTGTGTCCAGAACCTTCCACGCCCTGCGGAGCGGCTCCCCAACCAGGGACAGCCCCGTGCAGTTCTCCAGGTGAGCCAGGAAGTCCTGGATGGACAGGGCCAGGTGAGTCCGGAGGACCACCACGCCCACTCCCGCCCCGTCCCGCCCGCCCTGCTCACCGTCCAGCCCTCCAGCGCCGTCTGGTACTCTGGAGCCTCCGTAGCCTCCCGCAGCAGCTCGTGGTATCGGGGACAACTGCGCGTGGGGAACCTCAGCAGCTGGGGGAAACTGAGGCTCAGAGAGGACAGCAGCACGACTGGGGGTGGGGGAGTCGGGGCTGTGGCCCGTCTCTCCCAGGCCTGGCTGCGCAGCATGGGGACAGGGCTCACCCGTCCGGACAGCTCTGCCCAGGAGCTCCTGCTGCTCCGACTCAGGCTCCCGGGAGCCGCCCGCCAAGCCCTGCACCTCCTCTCCTCGGGGCCTCTGCCTCTCTCCGTGCCTCCCACCCCTGGCCCTGCCCAAAACCCCTGACCTTGTCCTCAGTGACCGGCACCGTGTGCACAGGGATGGGCCTCCAGGCGGCCTCAGGGCGCCCCGGGCCGGCCTCGGGGAACAGCCCCGCGAGGTTGGCCTGAGCGCTCTCCAGTGTCCGGTCAAAGTCTGTGCTGCGGACATACACCTGGGGTGGGAGGGGCAGGCGAGGGGGTGACAGTCACAAGGGGACCACAGTCCGGGTCAGAGCTTAGCTGCGTTGAAAGGGGTCAGGAGTCAAAACATCAGGTCAGATTTGAATGTCTGAACTTCAGTGTTGGAAGTTGGAATCGGAGGTCAATGGCAGGAGCAGCCGGGTTGGAGGTCAGAGATTGGGTGGGTGTGAAGGATTAAGGGGGTCAGCTGAGTCATTGAAAGTCAAAAAGGAAGATCAGAATGGATGCTGGCTGGAAGCTGGAGGTCAAGATTAGGAGAGCGGGATGGAGGACATGGGGTCAGAGTTCAGTACATATCTATCAGGGATCAGAGGTCAGAGGTCAGGAGGAATGATCCTAATTAGGGGATGTCAGAAGACAGAAGAGGAGATAGGAAAAGAAAGATTTGGTGAAGGGCAGAGGTCAAAGGTTTGAGGTCAGGAGGGCAAGTTGATTCAATGAAGGTTAAAGACAGAATCGGTCAAGTTTTGGAGAGGGTGGAGGTCAGAAGGTCTGGTTGGTGTTGGTGAGAGTAAGAAGACAGAGGTGAAGGCCAGAAAATAAAGCTAGAATTGATGGAGGTCAGGGGTCAGAGGTCAAGGTGTGACTCAGATTGGGATGAGGTCAGAAGTGGATGCTTCGAGATCAGAGATCAGACATAGGTGCAGATCAAATTGACGGGAATCAAAGGCCAGAGGTGGAGGCCCAAGAAGAGCATGGGAGTCAGCAGGGGTCAGAGGTGGGAGGTCAGGGGGCCAGGTGAAGGTCGACATGGCAGTCCCTCCTCCCGCCGGTACTCGGGGCTCAGAAAGGCCTCATAGCGACTCCTCAGGAAGCGGCCCAGCTCCAGCTGCTGGCGGACCCCCTCCTGGGGACAGAGCAGGCTCAGGAGACCCCTCCCCGCCCGGCCTCACCACTCAAACCCACCCCCAGCTCCTCACCGAGGTCAGCTGGCCCAGGCCTCGCGGCCACAGGGTGGACACGGCCTCCTTGTGCGGGTCGGTGGGGTAGGAGACCAGCGGGGCCCGGTCACCATGGCGGAACACCTGGGGAGGGG